TTTGTGCCAGATGGTAGTTACCAAATGCCAACATTGTGCCTTTGAAGATGTTAACAAGTGGTTAAAGAAATAAATACAAACGCTCTGGGGCCAAATAAGTTTGGGAAACGCTGCTTACCTTATTTTGACCTTAGAAAATTTCCACTTACTAAACATTTGAAAAGTACAGCAGGAAAGCAATTGTTTAACCACTTTTAGAAATATTTTTATCTTTATGAGTTATGTATGCATATAGTTCTACAATGTCTGTTATAAAATATAGAAGTCCCTCACCCCAGCTTTAGAGTTCCACTTCCCAGAGGCACGTTTGATTCTGTTGATATTACTTTCAATATCTCTAACTAACACTAAACAACTATTTGTACTCCTATTTTTTGATATATTGGTTTTAGGTATCATCTATTGACTTTGACAATGGAAATGTTAAAAAAAAGGGGAGGGGGGCTCAAGCAGTGCTATAGCATCAAACAGTGCAGGCTGACACCGATGGGTGGAAGGATGAACAGGACCCACACGGACCCCAGTCTCTTGGTATCACATGGAGAGGGGTGCTTGGTCAAGTGCGGCTGACACAAGGATGTGCTCTGGACAGGGACACTTCCATTGCTCTGGTGGCTTTCTTTGTATGGGGGCTTTGGGTGGGGGAGTGTGTCAGTGGAGTTTTACAGAGATGAGACTGGTGCTGCCAGTAGAGATGAACACCTTGTAGCTTTAGGCCAGTTGCCTACAGCAGTCACATTGGTCCCACTTGACTCATTGCCAGGTAACCAGAGAAAACTGCTGGGTTCAACAGCAGACAATCCAGTCTTGTTTTTTACTCCATCCTCCTGGTAGTTATTTCACACTCAGTTAGATCAGTATACGGTGTGTTCATTATTATGGCCATTTGCAATGCTAGTTCTAGTTGAGCCACATAGTCCTTTTCCATTAATTTCTCCTCCTGTACAACTTCCAGTTTTCTCTGGAGTTATTTTACTGTTTTATGTTGCAAAGTTCTCTATGTACCTATGACTAATTTATCCCCAAACTCTCCCTAAGTTGTATACCTTTCCTCTCAATATGTTCACACACATTAAACATTCCCTTGGGTTTATCTTCTTGAAGACATTTACCCCAGAGCCTTCAGATCTTCTCTAGTCTGGATGGCTTGCCCTCAATGCCTGTCTCACACTTGTGGCTTAGTACCTCATCTTAGTAGTGGTCACTGTTGATGTCCTGCTCAGATCCCCTTAAAGGGCTGGGTTGCCATCCTGCAGTTGCCATGTCTTCCAATGCTTCACAGATGCCTTTTTCTCCAGCAAATTACCTGAAGTCAAATGGGAGTCACTTCAACCAATATGTTACACCCTCCCCATAGTCAATGTTGGATTGACACAGAAGTGCAGATGTCTGGCCTCCTTGCTTTTAGGTGCAATTTATGCAGATGAGCTCCCCCATGGAATCTGGCTGAGCTGTTCTTCAGGTGAGTCCACATCCTTGCTTACCTCCTTCCCCTGCCATATCCTTTGGCCCTCTCTCCCTTTCTCTTGAGAACTCTCCCTCAATAGATCTCTCTCCACAAAGCGCATGAATTCCTGTTTCAGGCTCCACCCTAGGGAACCTGACCTAAGAAAGCTATCATCCTGAGGAGCCCTTTTATGTTTTTCTTGACTTGAACTTCTCACTGTTCTCCCTCATTTTCTAGAATTGTGTCTTACTCCCTCTTGGTTTATGTCCTTGGTTAAAGGCATCCTTTTGTAATTTCCTGAGAAAGGTTGCTTGGGAGATAAGTTTTAGTTCTTGAATGACTTAAAATATTGTAGGTTACTCTTACACATGATCAATAGTTTAGCTTGGTATAAAATTTTATATTGGAAATCCTTTTCTGGCAGAATTTTAGAGGCAGGATTCCATCCCTTCTAGTTTCCACTGTTGTTGAGAAGTCTGGTGACTTTTTGATTCCTGAACATTCTTTCTGTTACCTTTTATCCCCCCTCACTGGATTCTCAAGATCTGTTCTCTTCCTTAGTGTTCTGTGGTTTCTCAGTGTATGGATTGATGTTGATCTACTCTTTGTTCCTTATTCTGAGAGTGCAGTGGAATCTTTCAGTCTGGCAACTCACATGCTTTGGTTTGGGAAAATTTTCTTGAATTATTTCTTAGAAAGTCTCACGCCTAAGTTTTCTCTCTTCTCTTTTGCTCTCTGCAATTCCTATTATTTAGATGTTGGAATTCTTGAATTGATTCTTTAAAAAAAAATCTTTTTCTCTTATTTATCATCTCCTTGATTTTTGGTCTATTTTCTGGGAAATGGTTTTTCTATTTTATCCTCCAACTCTCATTGACTTTTTTATTTCTGTAATCATATTTTTCATCTCAAAAGCCATAATGGTCTCTGTTCCATTTTTAAGGTATCTTTTTCTTGCTTTATGAACTTAAGATATTTATCTTATTTATCTGAGGAGTAAATGATACATTTTGGAATTTTTTTCTGCATAATTTCCTTTTTCTCCAAATTTCTTTCTCATTATCATTATTGTTGTAGATGTTGCCTCTGTATTTTATGATAGCTCAAAAATCTCTCTAGGGGCACCTGGGTGGCTCAGTCAGTTAAGCGTCTGACTTTGGCTCAGGTCGGGATCTCACAGTCTGTGGGTTTGAGCACCACATTTGGTTCTGTGCTGACAGCTCAGAGCCTGGAGCCTGCTTCAGATCCTATGTCTCCCTCTCTCTCTCTGCCCCTTCCCTGCTCATGCTCTGTCTCTCAAAAATAAATAAACGTTAAAAAAAAAATCTCTCAAATTTCTAGTGGTGTTGACTGACCTCTTAACTTTGGCAGTAAAACTTTGTAAAGCTGTTTGTTACCTTCATGTGCTTGGACGGGGTTCTTCAACCATGTGCTTCCCTGCAGGGATACTGGGCTGTGCCATTTCACTGGAAAAACATTTTACATTATTACATTGTTTAGTATATATGTTCAGCTGCATGTAACATGAAATTTTAAAAAAGAGTAGCTTAAACAAGGAAAAAGTTTATTTATGTCTAATACAGGTTTGGAATTAGCACAGCACTCCAGAGTGTCCAGGATCCAGACATCCTCTACCTTTTTGAGCTACTATTTTGTGAATGTTACACTGCACGGTACATGAAGGCTCAGCACCATGTCTCCATTCTAATCAATAAGAAAATGGAAAAAAGGAAGAAAGAATATATATCCTCTTCCTCTAAGTTATACATATAACATCTGCTTATATGTCATTGGCCAGAAATATTGGCTCGCATCTCATGGCAAAGTAGGTTGGCCTTTTATGATATACATATAGCCATATGACCAATTAAAAATTATATTACTATAGGAGAAGGGAATAATGGATATTATGATACAACTAGAAGATGATGGGATAGTCAATATACTTAAGGCATTTACCTTAGGCTAGTTCAATCTCCCACAAAAGATTCTACCAAAATCCTAACTAGATTGCTATAACTCTGATTGTCAGAGTTCTGGGAATTGAATGAGGCAAAAACAAACAAACAAAAGACAAAAAAAACATAGAAGCAACAATAGTGGTAGTCATGGGGTCTGGGTCTTGATATTTAGTGTGTACACTTGTATTTAACATAGATCATTCTGGTTTTCTAGTCCGAAGACCAGTGCTCCATAAATAATCTAGCTTTTTGTTGGGGGTGGGGGTGATTTGGTTGGGCTGTTGAATAGTCAGCCACTTTTCTGCAAGGAGTGGTGAGGAGGCCTGAGAATCTAATTTTCAATTGATCTTGGTTTTCAGTCCCATCTTCACTTCTAGTTTCAGAAGTGTTGTCTGCAACTGCTGAGCACAGTAGAAATTGGGTAGCTTCTCAGCTTTCCTCACTCTTGACTTAAAATTCAGTTTTCTCAATGGGGCACCTGGGTGGCTCAGTCGGTTTAGTGTCTGACTTCAGCTCAGGTCATGATCTTGTGGTTTGTGAGTTCAAGCCCTGCGTTGGGCTCTGTGCTGACAGCTCAGAGCCTGGAGCCTCCTTCAGATTCTGTGTCTCCCCATCTCTCTCTCCCATGCTCATGTTCTGTCTCTCTCTGTCTCTCAATAATAAATAAAAACGTTAAAAAATTTTTTTTAAGATTTCAGTTTTCTCAAGTCTCCAAGTCAAGCTTTATAGCTTCCAAAAATTGTTGTTGTTTTTTGTTGTTGTTGTTGTTGTTGTTGAGTTATCACCCATTCTCTTTCTCTGACAGGTTTGTTTTTTTTTTTTTAAAAAATCCCTTACATTTAAAATAATCTCTTAACTTCTGAGATTCAACCCATTACCGTTAACCTAAAACCTGAATTATTCTTTAAAACCATTTGTTTTGAAACCTCACTTTTTTATTTTTGGAGCATTTCTTAACATTTCCTAAGGAAGGTACAATTTGATATGATGATGATGGTGATGATGATGAAGATAGCCAATGTATACTGAGTTCTTACTGGTATATAGGTAATGTATTAAGTACCTCACTTTTTATTTCCAGGACTGACATGAAAAGCAATTATACAAGTACTGCCCTTAGACCTAGGCAAGTAGACTTCTGCACCAGGCCCCAAGCTCAAAGGATTTGTGCATTGGGAATGACTTCGTTGACAATTTTTAAGACTTTTTCTGGGCCTTGGGACCAACCAGGCCTGGCACTGCCACCCGAGCAAGGTATCACAAACACTACTTAAGATCCATGTGAGCTCTGGTTCCAGTCTCTCCCATATAGAGCATTATTTGGCCGTCTATCCCTTGTGGTAGGTTGACCAGATGCCCTAAGGTGGTCTGTAACTCACACCAGTAGAATCATTCCAGGGCCCAGTGGCCAGCCTGGTTCCAGTGGGCTGCCCTGGTGAGCTAATTTACCAGCTGACTGGGGCAACATTCTTTCATAGACATCATGTTAGATTAGATCAGGAGAATGTGGCTGACATGCTAATTTGCAGGAATTCTCAGGCAGACAGAGAATAAAGAATCTGGATATGCACTGTTTGTGCAGTAAACAAATATGCATGTTACTTTTCTTTACCATTGTTAAATCTTCATTGATACATCACCAGACCTCACATGAGCCTGTGAAGATTCATCATCTTGTGTCCAACTGAGTAAGAGTTACCCTAAAACAGTATGTCAAATCCAAGCCTTACTGAGTATATGAGAAAATGTAAATGATAGTTCATTTTATGGCTACGTTAAACTTACCATTTGGAACTTCATAGTGTAAAAGTAGAATGACACATCTTCCAACCATGTTTCCTCTTGAATTCAGAGGAATTCTGACTGTAATCATTGCACTCCTAAGTTGTTATCTCTCTCAACCTTGACTGCACCTCTGATTTTTCACACTGCCACAAATGGAGAAGATAGGCAAGAAATCTATGGGCAAAGTGGGAAAAATGGTCCCTATACATAACTATAAGCATGACTGGTGATTTCTGCTGGTTCTGATCACTGAGTGCCCTGTGCCTTACCAATCAGTATATATTCTGAACCTCAATCCTGTTGCTTCATGTAACTTTGTTTTATTGTTCTTATTGCACTAACATAACTGAAGGTCAAATGGAAGAAGTATTTTGCCTAAATTTGCAAGCTAAGAAGTAAACGGCAGAACACGGATGTTAACCTAGAGCTCTCTGACTCTAGAATTTGCTTTCCAGGCTACATTCTACCACCCATAAGATCAAAAAACACAGATGCAGGATTTACACATATTTTCCCTCACATGAATCCATTGCACTTTTTGATACTCTCCACTCCAATTAAAGTAGTTAACTTGTTGTATAATACTTTAAAATAATAACTCCATTTATCTTAAATCTCTAAAAGAGTGAATAAAATAGATGTATATGGAATGGTAAAAGGCTCAGAATGTGGTGCAGTGAAAATGTTTGGGCTTTTGTTCACAACAAAGTGAACCCCAGTTCCAGAAAATTTCTTCAAACTTCCAAGAGTCATCTTCCTCATCTGTAAAAGATAAATATTAAATAACTATCTCAGTAATTAATAGTAGGGATTAAATAAGATTTCATGGGTAAACCATAGTGACTGTACATGTAGGCATTCAGTGAATATATTTTGTCTTTCTCAACTTCCAACACACACAGGAAAGGATATGGGTAATTCTGTTTACAGACCTATCTAGAGAAGCCAACCTTTGACTATCAACGTATCTCCTTGAGTCCTATCAAAGATATAGAAAATGAAAGAGTCAGGGACAAAATACACCTATGTCATAGTTTCTTATCTTTCGCTTACTTAATTTTGCCAAATGGTTTGATCCAATGACACACAAGTGTTTCTAGAAAATTTATTGAGTATAACCTATGGCTGAGTCACTGTTTTTCAATGTTCAGATCTTGAAACAAGCACGAAAATAAAATACCACAGGATACTTGTTAAAGACAAGCTTTGAAACCTTAAGAAAAGGAAAGAAAAAGAAAAAAAGAATGGATTTTTAGAATATATATAATTTTGGAGATTTATTTTGGAAACATTTTGAGTATGGAAGACACAATGAGGGCAAAAGTTATTTTTATGGTAATTTAGCTTTTGGTGAGTTTGCAAAAGCAAAGTTGGAAAGTTTTTTGAGATCCAAGTGCCAAGATTTATAGACAGCAGCTGGCTAGTATTAACCTCACATTTCCAAGCACAATAGACATATAGAAACAAACTAATTTATGAATCTAACCTTGAGAGAAAACCAATCAGAAATTCTGCTGCTACCCACTGGCATGTGAGTTGCCCTTTTCTTTTTCCTCCCACCTCTGTCCACTTGTCAAACATACTATACTGGTCACCAGGCCTATGAGAGAGGTTTTTCACATTCATGCTCCACTGGCTTACCCCATCAAATGTGAAGGTCAATTCCTCATGGAACTCTCTGCTCTCTCTCATGGCAGTCCTGGCCACGTGTGCAGAGGAAGAGTAATCGCTCTGCAAATCCTAAGAGGGGAAATACTTTTGCTGAATATTTACCATATAAAAAATAATATTTTATTTTTGATGGTAAGAAGACTCTTTTGGGGCTTCTAATAGAGTTAAATTACAGGAATTCTTAGCCTTTTTCCATAGGAAAGTAGCTTTTTTATTTTTAAAATAATTTTCCCAATTTATTTTTATTCTTAAAATCTAAGTCTTCATACCCAGTCATGGCCACCCTGAGTTACCCACAGAAGTAAAACCATTCATACTCATGATGATTATGTTCTGACTATAAATTAGTGAATAAGAAAATATTCTGGGAGAGAGAAATGTATCATTCTATAAGCACTATAGAAGTAGAAATTTTCTTTTAGTTTGTGGTTCTAACATATACATTCTGTATAGGAAATAACTCCTACAAAGGCAACTCAAGAGACCTAAAATTAGGACCACGCCTTTGATTTAAGTAGAATATAGTATCCAAAAATTAGGACACAATGAGACTACACATTTTCTCATCTGTCCTTTTGTAAGGGAAATATAGAATTGAAAATTAAACTCTTACTAATAGGATTCTAGATGTTGGCTTTATATCTTTTGAAAAAATAAGAGGAATGAAATTATAAATCAAAGCAACTTTTAAAGTCATAATGGAATCATACTTACTTGAAATGTCCATGTGCAGCCTCAAGACTGCCCATAACATTATCTAACAAAAACAAGAGCCAGAGAGAAAACTGTTTATTGCGTGAAGTTGCTAAATACACATACACTTCAAAACAGGATGACAGATGTGAAACAGCTGCTCATTACCCTTAAGGAAGGGGGAGTCTGCCTTTATTGAAATTATTTATAAGCTGCTTCATGTTCAGGTCTAATATTTTATTCTTTGGGGTAAATAGAGTTAAGCATTCATGATCAGAATTTTAAAGTATATGTTGATTCGCAACAACTACATTCACATATATCACATTATCAAAATCCTTCACCCTTTAATTGTAGCAATATTCATGAGAGTCCTGTTATATCTAGTAATTACAGTAAACTCCTATCAAATGCTTACTATGTGCCAGGCACCACTCTAAGTAATTGAACACATTTGATCCTCACAACTGCCTTCAGAGGCAGGTACTATTCTCATCTTCATTTTACAAAGCTCAGAGAGATTATTAACTTGCCCAAGATCACATAGCTAGTAAATAGTGTTTGGTGCCTGGATTCAGACACTAGCATTCTTATTCCAGACTCTACACTTGGCTAAACCATCACATTGCATGTTGCTGTTCATAAAACAAAACAGAGACTATTTCAGGCATGTATGCTATGTAGTGCATGACAATCATCACCTTAAAAGAGAAACTTGCTGACCAAGAAGATTTTGAGTCAGAATGAGCTTGGCTAAGATGTGGAAACGAAAGTGACACAATAACATTACATGCCTTGAGTCGGTCAACAAGAAGCTCTGCTCTCCCAGTTACCTAGGGACCTAGACCTCAGTTTTCTCTGGCAGCGGAAGAGAGGACATAGCAGTGGCACCGCACTTCCTAAATGTCCCAGCTCAAAAGTCTCACATTTCAGAAGAAGGAGGAAGAAGAGAAGGAAAGGAAATGGAGAAGGAAAAGAAGTCATCTCAACTTTCACTTATATTTCATTAGATAAAACTAGTTACTTGGCCACACTTATCTGCAAAACTGTTGGGAAATGTAATTAACTGGCAGAAAAATATTAGAAAAAAGCCAAAGAAGAATAAAAAAAATTGCGAGAAAGCATTTAGCTCCTCCGACTCTTTAGCTACTCTAAATGTTGCAGTAATTTAAGAGACACAGTATGTCCATATTTCCACAAAGCATTTGACAAAGGTGTCAAGAGGACAAGACAAAGAAATGATGACTGGAAGGTGTTGTGTTTAAAGAACAAGGGTGGCCCCTAAGGACACAACGAGACACGGGGCAGCCCCTTGCAGAGGCCTCAGCCTGATCACCAATTCTAAGTCCAGAAGCAACAGAGGGCGGAACACCTGAAAGTTCAGGTGTCTCACTGACAACAGTGATGTTTAAATCACATTGCTAAATTAATTGATTTATAGTAACAGTAAAAGTGGAGCATCTTCTTATTTTGGCAGATACATTCTGTATTCTGGCTGATATGTAAATTCTGAATGATATATAAATTCTGAATATGCATCACATAAAGTCAGAGAATATATGAAAACAGCAAGTAGAGTGAGTAGATTATTTTCGTTATCATTGGCTTAAAACTAAGAGAAGCCTGAGTTAGGGCAGATGACCAAGACAGGTCCACATATGGGAATTGGTGAGAATGGCATCTTGGCTACAGCCAAGCCTACTTTGGGTCAGTCTGCCATTGCTTCAGCCACCAAGTGGAGGGAAGGGGACACCTGATCAAGGATTCATGAAGAACAAGCGGATTTGGCTCCCTGTCCTTCTCTGGTCCTTGCAGAGACACATCCTGTGGTCTCAGCATTTCACACCAGTTTGGGGGGAATCCCAGAGCTTGAAGTTCACTGCCTTCATGTAGTCCAGGGCTTGGGAAAAGGAGTATCGGTGGGGGCATAACAGACATGTCTTGAGGACTTCACATCTGAATTCCAGACTCATCATTTCTTTTCTTTTTAATTTTGGTAAAATATGCTAACATAAAGCCTATCATTTTAATCACTTTCAAGTGGACAGTGTGGTAGCATTAAGTACTTTCACATTATTAAGCAACCATTATCTATCACCACTATCAATCTCCAGGGCTATTTCATCATCCCAAACTGGAACTCCATACCCATGAAACCATAATTTCTTAAATTTTTTTTACTGAAGTATAATTGACATACAATACCCTATTCGTTTCAGATGTACATCATAGCAATTTGCTATTTTTATACCCATTACAAAATGATCCCCATGAGAAGTCTAGTTACAATCTGTCACTATGCAAATTATTATAGTATTATTGACTGTATTCCCTCTGCTGTACTTTACATCCCCATGACTTATTTTCACCAAAGTTACAAAAACCTAGGTATCCCTGTGTTTTATTTCTTATCTGTCTGCCGCCTGCCACAAAGCTGTACTCATTTACATCTGACTATACCTACCTAGAGGACTGAATGCTCATCTCCTAGTTAGGGTTGGAGGCATACAGAACAAATTTCTATGCTCCCTGACTCTTTCCCAGCACATCATCTGCTCCCTCTGTGACCACATTCTTTCTTCCAACTTAGTATTTATAACAAATTTGGATAGTAAACATATATTCATTCTGTCTTAGTCCATTCAGGCTGCTATAACAAAATACCAGAGACTTGGTAGCTTAAAAACAACAGAAATCTGTTTTCAATCCAGGAGGTTGGCAGGTCCAAGGTCAAGATATCAGCAGATTTGGTGACTTGCGAGGTCCCACTTACTGGTTCATAAACAGCACCTATTGCTGTGTCCTCACAGGGTAGAAAGTGGGTCAAGAGAGCTTTCTTGGGCCTCTTTCAAACTGGCACTAATCTTTTCATAAGGGCTCTGTCCTTATGACCTAATCACCCTCAAAGGCCATAAGTTCCTAAGACCATATCCCATGGCTCATTCGATTTCAACATATAAGTTTAGCCAAGGAGGAATACAAACATTTAAACTATAGCACATTCTTTATAGAGGCTTATGCCCAATTTATCACAAATAAGGGTTTCTCAAGATATCTCAGATATTTATTTACAGATTATCACTAAAGAAGAACAATATTATCCTTATATGCATTTGTCTTCTAATTTAATTTTGAAAAGCATCTTAACTTGAAGTTAGGAGAATACTCTGTTCCCCCTCCCATTTATTATCTATAGATCCTAGTTCAATTAGGCAATCCACATCTGGTTGAACAGCACCACGGATGCTGATGGGGAGGGGGAAACCAGCCTGGACTACCCCCTCTGGAGGGATGTTTCAGGTGAGACTCAGTTCTTGGCCCTGTCCAACTAAGAGGTTTATCCCTTAACTGGATAAAGCTATAAGATGAATGCTGATCAAATTGTTGAATAACTCCAAGCGAGGGAAGAAATGCAAGATTTCAGAATCAGAATCTAAAAAGGTCTAGTGAGATGAAATGATGAACTCTAACACTGAGACTGGATGGTGGTAAATTCAAGGCTCTGAACCTGGATCCCAAGCTTCAACCACTCAATGGCAGGGCAGAGGTCATGGGGTTTGTAAATGTTCACTGGTCTACCTTTGCTCTCTTATATTTCCCTGGCTTCCTTATCGTTAGGTTTACCATTGACTGACTCTGACAGTGGAATGTGAGTGAAAGTCACACATCTCACTTCTAAAATGAGGAAGCTAAAGATCAGGTGTGTCTTTCACCACTTTCCCTTCCTCCCTTCTGCAGCAGGATGATGCTAGGGACAAGAAGAAATGATAAGTTGGAGGAGCCACTAGATGAAAGCAGCTTATAGCCTTAGTCACCACTTTGAAGTGAACAGCTCAAGTCTCCCTGGAATAGGATGTAAGGAAGAATAAACCTTGATTCTATTAAGCCATTAAGATCTTGGGGTTTGTTTACATGTGAAAAGCATTTAAGGATTTTAGTTGGCAGTAAGTTGATATGAATCAACAAGAAGGATGCTTCCTATTCTTAACTCCTTAGTAGCACTTGACCACCAGCCCCTTCTTCTTAATGGAGACACTGATTTCCTCTGAAAATCTCAGTACCTTCTAGGTTTTCCTTTTACCTGGCTAGTTGCTCCTTTCTCTTTCTTTGCCTTTTCTTCTCAAAGGCTATTAATTATGGTGAGTTTCTCTAGGTTCAGTGCTCTGGCCTTTCCTCTTTTTATTTGATGTTCTTCAATATGGATTCAATTACCATCTATATACAGAAGACTCACAAATTTATTTGACCACCCGAGGACACTCTTCTAAGCTCAAGACACACATAATCAAACTTTCTACTTGATATTTATTCATGGACTATTCAATGATTCTTCTTACAAAACTATACTCATAATCTTTCCTCCCAAATCTGGCCCTCTTCCAGTTTCCCACCTCAGTGAATGGCACACCACCTCTCCAGTCACACCAGACAAAAGCTGTACATCCATCAATTCCTCGCTTTTATCTAACCTTTTCTTTCTCCATCTTATACAATCCATTATCAAGTTCTACCAATTTTCCTTCTAAATACTTCTCAAGTCCATTGTCCTCTTCCCAGCTATCCCAAGCCACCTTGCCACTATCTGTTACCAAAACTCCTGCAATAGTCTTTTCACTGACCCACATGCATATACTCTGATGTCTTCTCAGTCCACTCTTCGTTGTAATCTTTCATCTCCCTCCTGTTTAAAACTCCTTGTGGTTTCCCATTTGCTGTATTAGGCTGATGGTAAAACAGGGCCACAAAGATCCTGCATAATCTGGCACCGTCTACTTTCTGGCTGACCTTGCTCACTACAGCCTTCCTCTTTCTTTGCTCCATTTGTGTTGGACTTCTTTCCATCCCTCATACTTTCACAGAGGTTCTTCCTACCCATCCCCACTGCATATACTTGTCTCTGTGTCTGAGATGATTTTCTGTCTTCTCATCACACTATTAGCTCTATCCTTCTTTCAGCATCCTGCTCAAGAGATGAGAAGCCTCTTCGACCTCTCTAATTAGCTCAAATCCTCCAATTACAGGTTCTCATAGGACTGTATACCTTTTCTTAGGACTTATCACAGATGCAATATTACATTTATTTGTCGGATCATTTGTTCTTCTCTGTATCCTTCTTTAGATTATAAGCTCTATAAAAGTAGTGACCATGTTTTCCTTTGCTCTTTTTTATCTCCAGCACTTAATAAAGTGCCAGATATAGATTATATTCTCAGTATTTGCCAAAAGAAGAATGGAAGGGAGGAAGGTGGGAAGGAAAGATGCAAAGAAAGAAGAGAAGAAAGAAGAAAGAAAGAAGAGTTTGGTTTCTTCTCTGTAGTTGCCAGTTTGCATCTAGAGAACTGGGTTAGGTTGTGAGTGCCATAATTTTAGATAAGAACAAACTAGAACATATTCAGAAGAGAAAAACAAAAAAAAAGTAAGAGGAAGCCAAGTTGGGAATCAGCACCAGATAGGTAATTGAAGTTGTTTGTTTGTTTGTTTGTTTACAATCAAGGGATTCTATTTTAAAGAAAAATATGATGTGCTATTTTATGATGTGAAACAATTTTCACCATTTCTCTTTTGCAAATAAAGGCATTTAACAGGAAAACACCTTCAGGTTTATAAATAATCTTCAAAATCTACTACTGGACAAAAATAGATGCAAAAATTCTGCAATGTCTCCAAGTACACATATTGATGGGCACTTTTGTCCCCTTTTCCAGCTTCCTATTTCTATACTAATATAATGGAATTATCTGTTTCAATAAATCTCATGAGTAGTCTCCTGTGAACATCTACAGTTTAATTCAGGAGGGATAGTTTATAATAATTGTCAAAACCATTGTTTTATGTTAAGTAGAATTACTACCTGTTTGCTTCTGAGTATGATTTTTTTTGGCTTTTAATAATATTGCATGTGAATATGAAAGTTATAGTCATGTAGTTCTGAATTAAAGAATATATAATACACATACATGTGGTAGCAAAATTGAAATCAATAACAAGGTTAGCTACAAACTATGGACACTGATAAAAGTGACGAAGCAAATTATAAACCCATCTGCAATGGTCATTTAGGGAAGTTCTTAAAAGTTGTTGATATTTATCACAAAAGATACTATATAAAAATATATTTTGTGTTTTTTTCATTTGTACTTCTCTTTTTATAACAGAATTTCACAATGCCAAATATATCCTTTTCAACATTTCTAAGCCTTTGAACTGCATACCAGAGGAGATTTTTTTATTTGTTTGTTTCACCATCAGTAAAAATAGAGGAAGAATCAAATTACTTGGTTCTGGATTAGGGAAGGATCTTATCTGAATCAAAGGAAGAATATATATTCTGCAGCTCTTAGCTCACAGCAGAATATCAACCTGGATCACCTCAGTCAGTCACCAAGGGCTCCATCGGTGACTATGTGAAGGGAGCGGGAACAAGACTGAGTTCCACATGGCCAATCACGTTGCCAGGAGAGTGGGGCACCCACTGTATGTGGGGAAGGGGCTTGGATTCAAGCAATGATCAAAAGAACGTTGTTGAGGAACAACTCTTGAGAAATCACATGGACTGGCCCCCAGGTTCAGATCTCCAAATAGCTAAAGGCCGAGGACAAGGCAGATGGAAGAACTAGATTTCAGCCACTGGTAAAATCTTATGGGATTGTTTTAGAACAGAGTCCAAATCAGCCACACAACTGAATGGATCAGAGTCTAAAGGAACTAGCACCATAGAGTCAAGAGCAAAATTGCTTCAAATGAGCCTTAAGTAAATGGAAGGAATTTAGAATCCCCCAGGTAATGGGCAGAGAAAAATGTGAAACTAAAATGATTGCATCGAAGCTATGAAAATCATATGTGAATCGGAAAGTTAATGATGTTTTTTTTAAAAAAAAACACTTTTGCGTCAGTTAGATTCATGTATCTTGTGAAAGTATTCTGAAGAAATGAACGTTGACAATAAAAAATTGTATGACTAACAGACTCAGACCCTCTCTTCGTCATTCTTGCACAAATCTGGCCATTGGCAGCATCTATGGAATGAAGAACAAGGAATGAAGATTTAAGGTTGCAAAAAACATTTTCTGAAATCCCTTTTAAGAAGTATTTTTAAATGTACTTGGCCATCTTATCGGAATAAATACATTTATAAACATTGTTACCAGGTAGCAAGAGGTGATCCTGTCCAATGTTTGCAGAGATTTGATGGTTGGCAAATATAGTGTAAAATTTGCAAAGATACTGGGCTAGGAGTATGTTTACATTGGATAAGTGAAAAAGCCCAGCTAATGCAGTGAGCTTCATTAATGTCGACAGTCAATTTGAAAAATATAGGCCCCAAAGTTCACTTTACTTATCAAAACTTTTGGGTCAAAAATATTTCAACTCACACCTCTCTTGGTTTTTAAGGGAAGAGTTGTCAAGTTCATGAAATAGCAAATATTTGTTACCTGAAAAGATTAAAAGAAATTCCACTTAAAAATACTTACTGGCAACATATTCTGATGTTTAAAAAAATCCACTAATAGCCTTAGACCTTGTAAGCTTGAAGTAGGCACATACTAGTTGCAGTAATTCTTGGAAGTAACATATGTAATTCAACCCTGTATCTAAACCTCTAATCATTTAGTTTTGACAACTTCTGTTTAGCATGTTCTGCCAACAGCATATTAATTAGATGTGACCCAGTGATTCCAGGTCATTGCAGGAAAGCAAACAAAGCTTCAGAGATTACATGCTAAAACTCAGCCATCTTCCTGGCTGCTTTGTAGAATGAAGGAAGTGAAAATCTAAAGTAATTCTCATAAAGACCAGCAACATGAGGAAATAGAAGAGACTGGGGACACGTGGATTACTAAGATTGTATGTCTCTATGAATTGTTCAGTTTGCCTGCAGAAACCTGTTCAGAATGGTTTTCCAACACTCCCAACCCAATCTACTGAGTTTCTAAAGAAAACATAAAGGATGGGGCGCTTGGGTGGCTCAGTCGGTTGAGCGTCCGGCTTCGGCTCAGGTCATGATCTCACAGTTATGGGTTCGAGCCCCATGCCGGGCTCTGTGCTGACACTAGCTCAGAGCCTGGAGCCTGTTTCAGATCCCGTGTCTCCCTCTCTCTCTGACCCTCCCCTGCTCACGCTGTCCCCTTCTCTCTCAGAAGTAACAAAACATTTTAAAAAAGAAAAAGAAAAGAAAACATAAAGGACTAAATAAACAACTTTGGTTTGGCAAAACAGTTGGTATAGAAAGAACACTTACTGTGGTGGTCATTAAGTAATGTAGAGAATTGTCAAGTCAACATGCTATACACCTGAAATTAATATGATGTTGTATGTTAATTATACTTCAATTTTTAAAAATCCAAATATTTATCTGGGCATGTCTAAGTGTTCTAAATATGGAACAGTATTAGTTTGCGAGGCTGTCATAACAAAGCACCCCATATTGCATTGCTTAAACAACAGAAATTTATTATTTTTTTAAGTTCACTGCTAAATAATGGAAGCAAGTGTGGAAAACATGTGTGCACCACAGCAAGGAATGTAACTCAGTCACTAGGAAGAAAATTATTATATCGTCTGTTCCAGTCATTGGTATTTCATTGAGAGTGGTTATTCCCTCAAAAGATTAATAACAAAATGATACTTCTCATCTTTATTATTATTATCATGACAGTAAGGGTCACTGGCAAAAATCAGTATTGATCAACAACATTGATTTGAATCATTGAATTAAACTTCTTGAAGCAAACATCTTTGCAGTAGGGAAAAAATGAAGTGATAGCAACAGGGTTTCTATGATTGTAACACTGATGATTAAAAACAAAAACAGTGGGGGCGAGGGGGGGATGGGCATGGAGGAAGGCACTTGTGGGGATGAGCACTGGGTGTTATGTGGAAACTAATTTGACAATAAACTATTTGTAAAAAAAAAAAATCAAAAATAAATAAAACAAAAAAAAAACACTAATGGAAAATAAATATCTGTAGTATATACTGGTTTTTCATTCCTAGAATGTTAGAGAAAGAGGTATCCTGACCTTTTAAGCAATTTTCCTGTCAGAAACACTAATTTCCTTCTATATTCAGTGCTGGGCAAGGATATAGATGCTTTTGCTTTTCCCAGCATGTGGTATTGACTTTGGAGCAAAGCTTAAATGGAACCCAGATGTTTCTGCCCTTAGCCCCAACTCTTGCCTCCAGGCCTGCGGTCTCTGGGTTTCCTTAGGCCAACCCTGATTCATAACTCAGCACCTTTAGGAATTCCTTGAAAAGAATCTACTCACTCAAAAGCATTATTGAGATATATAGACTTTGTGGAAACCTCTGAGGGAATCGTTTGCTTTGCAAACTCCACAACAAGCAACTTAAAAATAAATACAAAATCTTCTAAGCTCTCTTCTTAGACATCCCACTTCCCCTTTCTAACCATGCTGGCTGAATTTTCTTTCCTCCTTCTGGAAATTCTGGAAATTTCAAATTACTCTGGCATCTTCTGTGTTGAGCCATTCAACTCTGCCCACATCCTCCATGCCAAAGATGGTACACTTAAATGCAGCATGGCATTTAGGCAAAGGGCCTTCAGGTAACAAGACACACTTGCTTTACAAGGCAATTTATGGAGCCATTAGGATCTCATCTTTCATACTAAGAAGGTCTTCCAAGTGGGGTTTTATTCCTAAAAATATACAGTGTTCTCCCTAAGAAGAATTCTGTAGAATAAAAATTTCTCCATTTCTCTTAATAAAAGTCACCTTCCCTGATTCAGAAATTCCAATAGCCTATAACTACACAGTAAGAAATACCAAGGAATGTGACAATCCACAAGCATATCTATCAACTCCCTGGAGATCTCTTTTCCAGAATAAATTCTAAAAAATTCTAATTTCAAAGTATAAATTACCACATATGTTTTGGTCTGCCTAGAAGACCTGGTTTTAAATAGATATCCTTGTTTTGAAAATGACCTTTGATCACCCAACATCATTTCTCCATTCTACTCCCCAAGATTACATACATTTTTTAGAAGAGAAGCCTCAGAAAATTGTATATCTCATACAATCTCATATCAACAGGATCCAAACCTTTTAAAGAAGCAGATTCATCTAGTAAAATAACTTACTCAAAGATCCCCTTTTCTTGTAAAAACCATTGCAAAGAGAATTTGGACTTGAAAATGTGTGTGTTATGGCATAACTGACTATTTAAGATATAGTTAACAAAATGAAATAAGCACTGGAGTGTGAATCTAAGAAGGGCCTTGGCAGAGTGTTGAGGAATAGAGGTAAGGGTAGCGTGGAATGGGTGGAAATTACACCGGTTTGATTTTCCATCTGTGTGCTGTGACAGCATGTAAATTTAGTGTCCAAGCTTCAGGTCTGACTCTGGCTCTCTCTCTAACATTAGTGAATTACGTCGTCTTTTGAGTTCCAGTTTTCTCATCTGTCAACGAGGCCTAACAAATCCTACATCAGAGCATTATTGTGAGCACTAATTACATGAGTCTTTTACATATGAGAAGACAGTAAGACAATGCGATTGGAATTTTATAGATGAAGAAAGTGAGCCTCTTCTTCCTAAGCTCAGCTCAGGGTGCCTCTTTGCAAGCCCCCAGATCATCTGCGTTTAACAGTCGACAACCTTCCATGGAGATTATTTTGATCCAATATTTTTTCTAAAACTTGCTAGGTTAGCTCTGGGGCCACATCCTGGCTTTCATGGGCCTGGGCATTTTTGCCTTTGTGGGTTCCTTCCCCCATAAAAGCATATTCAAAAGTATGTTTATTGAATGTGTTGGCAAAAAGATGAGTAAAACCCAGATTTGATCCATTTTTATATACTTATTATTATAATACTCATTTTTCTTCTGATTTTTTAAAGGAGTGAAAACGTTTTTGTGGGCCTCTAAAAGTATATTGGGTCCTGGGCACCCTACCTACAGAACCTACTGGATAGGGGAACCTGGGGGGCTCAGTCAGTTAAGCAACCGACTTCAGCTCAGGTCACAACCTCACAGTTCATGGGTTTCATCCCCGCATCGGGCTCTGTGCTGACAGCCGGCTCAGAGCCTGGAGGCTGTCTTCGGATTCTGTGTCTCCCTCTCTCTCTGACCCTCCCCTGCTCACACTGTCTCTCTCTCTCTCTCAGAAATAAACAAAACATTTAAAAAGAAGAAGAAGAAGAAGAAGAAGAAGAAGAAGAAGAAGAAGAAGAAGAAGAAGAAGAAGAAGAAGAAGAACTTGCTGGATAAATCAGCCCCAGTTAGCTTCCTGCCCCTATTAGAGCCTCCAACCTTCCATTTGCGGTACTTTTTCTTAAGGATTTAAGGAAAGGTCTCCATCCCCTTCTCTTCTTCTCTTACTCTTTGTTGTACACATTAATTTTCTCTAATCCCTCCTCATAGACTCAATCCTCTTATCCTTTTATCATCTGGCTGATTTCTTTGTGTGCCTTTGAATTCTAGCCAAGGTACTGATGTTTCTCTTCGGTAAGTATAGAACTATATACGATATCCTACGCCACCTGATGTAGGCCGTATTGAGCAAAATGATTTATTCCCTTTTCAGACGTGTGAAACTCTACTTTCTGAGCTTTTCTAAGTGCACTTGGGTTTTTTAAATTTTATTTGTTTTTAGTAGCTGTCAGGACATATTTAATTTCTTCTGAACTCTTACCCTCAGATTTTACTGCTTCCCAAATGTCATTGTTTCATTTGTTCCTTTTACTACTTCATACACAGAATATTCTCAAATCAAAACTAATAATAAATCAAACACTTAGCCATGGAGATTCAGCATACCATCACCTGTCTCCAAAGTGTAGCCATTAAAAGAAAGGGGCAACCCCAGGGACCCAGATTTTAGGAGGCTTTACAACAGAATGGCACACAAAATATGAAACAATTCACCTTTCTTCGCTACGTAGTGACCACTTAAAACGTTCACTTTACACTTATCTAAAAGTCATTTATACTAGTCTTTGTTTTATCTTAATTTAAGTAGTTTACATTTTTATTTCTGGTTTTAAAATTCTAGATGTTTAAAAAATGGTCTCTGTTTTCTCTACAGTTTGCTAATGAGTATTGAAGTAACATAATTCATTTTATTTATACTGTGCTGCATTCTAAGAAAAGATTTAAGATCTATAAAGATGCATGGAATATGGTATCATTAAATTTGAAATAAACTAAGAAAAAATCAAAGAAAGAAAAGTAAGGTAATGAGTTGGAAACAGGTATGTATGATAATATATGCTGTGAGTGCACACACCCTTGCTGCAAACAGGCAACAGATTTACTTGAAGCTCAATTTTTGAATACTAGGTAAGGCAAACAACGTATGCCTCATTTCTTCACCCAAAAATCTGATAAAAATATTTACTACTGGGGCACCTGGGTGGCTTAGTCGGTTAAGCGTCCGACTTTCGCTTAGGTCATGATCTCGCGGTTCCTGGGTTCGGCCCCGCGTCGGGCTCTGTGCTGACTGCCAGCTCAGAGCCTGGAGCCTATTTCAGAGTCTGTGTCTCCCTCTCTCTCTGACCCTCCCCTGCTCACGCTGTCTCTCTCTCTCTCTCCTAGAAATAAATAAAAATATTAAAAAAAATATTTACTACTTACTTGGGATGAATAAAAATAGTATCAAATAATTTTTATGTGGCTGTGGCTTTTTAAAGGAAAGACATAAAGCTTACCTCTGTCCCGTTCCCTTCAAGCTTCCCATCTGCCATATCTGATTTCTCAGTAACACAAGGAAAATTGTCAATTATCTACAGCCAGAAATTCTCAACTGCTTTTTAAAAATCTTCAGAGCTGTCAAGTTGTGCACTGCCAAACTAAGGGATACATAGGCTATATGTTAGAAGTTTTAATAAATTGGAAAACAAAATTATAAAGAATATACAAAAGAGCAGAAGATGCATCTTCATTACACAGAGACAATATCTGTTAACACTTTGCTCATTTCTACTCTTATTTTTTTAAGGACAACTTCCTACAAGGGTAATTCTTACATTAAAAGATATGCTTGTTTATGGGGCACCTAGGTGGCTCAGTCAGTTAAGCATCTGACTCTTGACTTTGGCTCAGGTCATGATGTCATAATGGTAAGATCCAGCCCCACATCAGGCTCTGTGCTGAGCATGGAGCCTGCTTGGGATTTTCTCCTTCTCACTCCCTTTCTCTGACCCTTGCCTACTCCCCTGAGCAGGCATGTTTTCTTGGTCTCTCTCTTTCTCTCTCAAAATAAGTAAATAAACATTTTTAAAAAGATGTGATTGTTTTTAAAACAAAATTTGCCAAATTAGCCCTCAATCCGTCATATATGAGGATGGTCATTTCAGTAATATCCTTGCTAAATTTGTGGCTCAATTGTTTTCCTTTACAACATGAAGATAACATTATCTAACAATAACCCTAATAGCTCATAGTGCTATTATAAATAATAAATGAGTTAACAATACCTAAAGTACTTAGAACAATGTTACGAACATTTTTGTTATTATTTACACATTTCATAGGTAAAATTAGTTTCTTATTTTTTTTCATAGTTATTAGGGATATAGAATACATTTTCATATATTTATGGGACATTTTTGTTTCTTTCATTAACTGTGTATTTAGATCTTTAGCACAACTTTCTAATGGTTGCTAATTTTATGTATTCTTTGTATACTAAGAATATTAACCATGTATCTGACGTAAATGTTTCAAATATTTCTCTAAGTTCCTGTTTTTTATTAACTTTGGTTTTATGTTTCTTTACATGCAGATGTTTAAATATTTGACTAGGTCAAATAACCAGTTATTTTGGTTTTTCTTTTCTCTCTCTCTCTCTCTTTTTCTTTTATATTTAGGAAGTGTATTCTTTTCCTGTGATTTCCGTAACAAATAGCCATAAACTAGGTGGCCTAAAAACACCAGAAATGTATTCTCTTACAGTTTTGGAGGCTGGAAGTCCAAAATCAGGGTGTCACTAAGGTTGGTCCATCCATAAGCTTTGAGAGTAAATCCGATCTGTTCTCATGACTCTCTCCCAGCTTCTGGTGATTTCCTGCAACTCTTGGCATAATTGGCTTGTAGATGCATCACTGCAATGTCTACCTCCCTCTGCAATAGGCTTCTCCCCTGTGTCTGTGTCTGTGTGTCCAAATGTTCCTCTTTCTACATAGAATTTAGGACCTATATTAATCCAGCCTCATCTTAATTTGACTGTATTTGCCAAGATTTTATTTCCAAATACAGTCACGTTCACAGGTTCATGTGGACATGAATTTTGGTAGACCAGTATTCAACCCATTACATGAAGTAGTTTTGTATGCCAAGATCACAAAAATATTCACCTACATGTTGTATGTATGTATTTTTATATTATTCTTTAATCCATCTGATTTTCCATTGTTTTCTGATGTAATTAATGTTCATCATTTAGGCTGGAGTACATTATCTTGAAACTTTTTCAAGTGGTAATGGAAAGGTAAAATACCAAATATGCCATTTAAATAAAAGCTTAGAAGTTTCATACACACACACACACACACACACACACACACACACACACACATGCACACACACACACGAGAGAGAGAGAGAGGGAGAGAGAGAGAGAGAGAGAGAAGAAAAAATTAAGAGGACAATTTGATGACCCAGAATATGCCCAAGAAATACCAGGCTTACCCCCTGAAAAATACATGCTCATCACTCTTGGCAGTCTTGGTACTCATCTCTTTTCTTCTCGGCTAAGATTTACATAGTTTTATGACGATGAAATCACACCCTGATTTATCAGGGGATGCTCAGCTGAACAGAAGACATTTGTAGTACAAGAAGCTCTTCAGTATTTTTTGTCTTCTATTACTCACATGTTTGCCTTCGTGTCACACTTTCCCTCAGATCTGTCTTTCAGATGCATGGACACCCCACCCGGGGCACTGCCTTTATTCATTTCCATGTTGTTCCCCCTCATCCTGGAGCAGATGCCCTGGCAGAACTCTGAGTGTTCTCCATATATTTTCCTGTAAGTCACATTGGACTCTTTATTGATCTTCAATTATACCAGCATTTAATGGGATCCTCCTTGGATTGCCTTGGCTGTCTGTATACTGTTAAAATTTGCGATGCCTTGTGCTTTGGTTTTCCATAATAGTAAAGAATATATATATTTTAGTCTTTAAGATGAAAATCCTCTTATCCTGCCTGAAATGTCTGTGCATAGACTGGTATGCTAACTTATCACACACTGGTGCCTTTTTTCCTGGAGAATTGTGTACTTCTACTGAAGATTTTAGGTGGTTGTAGAGCACATTAAAAATATTGAATTGAAGGGGTGCCTGTATGGCTCAATTGGTTAAGTATCTGACTTTGGCTCAGGTCATGATCTCACAGTTCGTGGGTTCAAGCCCTGCCTAGGGCTTTGTGGTGACAGCTCAGAGCCTGGAGCCTGCTTCGGACTGTGTCTCCCTCTCTCTCTCTGCCCCTCCCCTACTCACACTTTGTGTGTCTCTCTCTCAAAACTAAACATTTAAAAAAAGTTTGTATTGAGGAAATTTCATCCACTGCAATAATTTCTGGGTTGTATAGCTTCCAATTAACATAAGAATTAAGCTGTTCTTCAAATTGATGCATACACTGAATATTAATCTACCTAACAGTAAAATTGAACAAAATTATTTTTCAGTCCATTACTAAATACACACTAGTGAAAATACTCCTTTTGGATCCAGACTTCTAGGATCTGGGAAGAAACAGAAGAGAAATCAATAGGCTAATATTAAGTTACATCAATATTAACATTTTTGGCAGAATGAATCACCTTATCAATAGCTTTTATCTTATAAAGCTTAGTTTAGAAAGTAAGCTGCTAAGTACTATTAGGACATATGGACATTAGAACTCTTTGTGTGTTCATTATTTCATATATGAATATATCTAAACATTTTTATATGTAGACACAAAGTTTATAAACGCATGCCAAGCCCCATTCTCACCTACTTCTGCAAGATTACCAGCAAAGTTGTTTCTAGATATAAATATTATCATAAGCTCTCTGGGCTCCACTGGGTTTTTCTACATCATTGTCATCATCCCTATGCAGTCATTGGAGATCAACTAGTTACTTTTCTTAGAAAAGCTTTTACTGGGGGCACCTGGGTGGCAGTCGGTTAAGCGTCAGGCTTTGGCTCAGGTCATGATCTCACGGTTCGTGGGTTTGAGCCCCTCATTGGGCTCTATGCTGACAGCTAGCTCAGAGCCTGGAAACTGCTTCGGATTCTGTGTCTCCCTCTCTCTCTGACTCTCCCCTGCTCGCTCGCTCTCTCTCTCTCTCTCAGAAATAAATTTTTAAAAAACATTTTTAAAAAAGTGCTTTTACTGGACCACAATTATAGATACTGACAGAGAACCTTGGTTCTGGGAGAGACAATCTATCCAAAATAGAATATTTAGTCTAGAGACGTTAACAAATTTCTAAAGGTTTTGTCCTATGACCAGATTGCTGTGAAGGCCTGGTTATCATTCATTATGGCCCATTTATTCTATTTACCCAACAAATAATTATTTAATGTCTCCTATGTGCCAGGCTCTGTTCCAAGTATTAATGAACTAAACAGAAAATAATTCCCTGTTCCTATAGAATGTACTATACGGTAGATCTTCTTTAACCAAAACTGCAAATTCCACAATCTCTTAAGACTAAGATTCCAAAGAGGATGTTAGGGACACCAGAAATAAACATATTTTTTTATTGAGATCCGATAAGAATAACATTTTTTGATACAAGAATAGATATGAGATCACTTGTCTAGATAGGAGTTGTGAGAACGAAGAGGGCCCACATCAGTATTTTAATAACAGTGGAAAAATCTATACAAGGTCAGGTGTTACTGGCATCGGGGTGAAATGGCTGTAGAGAATATTTGTTGGCTCAAAGAAGGGTGTTGGCTTGTTGAGCCCTCTATAGTCATTGGAGGAGTACGTTCATTAATGGGGGGGGGTGTTCTAAGCAGCAATTCGAGACACAAATTAGCTTATTTGGGATTACACATTTTTTGAATTCCAGGTTATGGGTAAAAACAGCACCAACCCGAATGCTGTATTCATTTGGTCCTTCATTGAATCTTTTGGTCCAACAGTGTAATGTTAAATGACAGGAGGAAGCCTGTTCATAAACAATCATGATTTGTGTCTGAGTCAGCTGCGAAGCCATCTAGCAACAATCCATCGCCCTGCTAAGTGGAGCAGCTGCCATTCTCCTGGCCTCGCCTGTACCATTGCAGAGCTGGGCAGCACACACAATGGTCCCGCACCTGCTGCCGGGACTGCCGGAATGACGGTGGTGGCATCATTCAAGCCAGGAGGAACAGGACCATAAAACACAGACGCGCACCCTTGCTAGCTCAGCTGCTCTTCACCCTGGTGCTCTCTCCTGCCAGGCCAACAATGGGTCCTGTTTGCCTCACAACTGTCGTGTGGACATAGAGGCATCACAAGAAGCAAACCTTCTGGAGACACACAAAATAAATCCGGTCAAGTCCAATTTAGCTTCATTAACTTCCCGTGGGAGGAAAAATGTAACTTGAGTGTTAGACAGGGTCACGTGTGTGATTCCCTCTTCCAAATGCTGGCTCTCTTTGTTTTCTTCTTATACTTTTACTTATACTTATATACTTATACTTCTCATACTGTCATTTCCCTTTGTTGGCAGGATTGGGCTGAGATGCAGCCTTGCTTACTGGATCCAGGGAAGGGAGATAGGGCTTTCACGATGGTTATCTCCTCCTTGACTTTCTCCTCCTTGGTGATTTTCTTGATATTCAAGCTGTAATCACCACTCCTCCTGTGACGACTCCGCCAAATTATAACTATAGTTTGGATCCTGGACATTTTGTGCTAGAAGTAACCATTGGAATTATCCTAACTTCCAGATTTTATAGATGAGAAAATTGGGGGTGTCTGGGTGGCTCAGTCAGTTAAGCGACTGACTCTTGATATCAACTCAGGTCATGATCTCACTGTCCTTAGATCGAGCCCAGTGTCAGGAGCTCTGTGCTGAGAGTGGAGCCTGCTTAAGATTCTCTCTCTCTCTCTCTCTCTCTCTCTCTCTGTCCCTCCCTTGCTTGGGCTTACATGCTCTTTCTCTCTCAAAAATAAATAAATAAACATTTTAAAAAGTTTTAAAGATGAAAAAAATGGAAGTTCTGACATGTTAAGTGACCTTCCAAGCTTACATGAAGAAGGGACTAGTAAAACCAAGATTACAAGCTGGATGCCTGACTCCCAATCTAGTGCTCTTCCCCGCTTCCCTGCTGTTTGTGGTACCTCTCACAACAGCTCATCCCCTCCCCTTGTTTTGATTTCTGTCACCATTTCTGTGTTCCAAGTGGTTGGTCATTAATTTTTACATGCCTCTGGAATAGTTTTCTGGCTGATACCCGCATTCTCAAATTCATTCTACGATAAGCAGTGCAGATTATAAAAGAGCTGGGGTTTTTTTGTGATTGCCCTAACTCAAAAACATTTCATTGTTTCTTATTGCCTCAAATTAGGTCTAAAGTAAATCCAACTCACTGTATCTGCCTACCTCCAGTTCCCTGTTCTTGCAATGCTGCTCATGCTTTTCTATTTACTGCTCCCTCTAGTTGAAAGACCACCCCACATCCCTGCCTGTCAATATCTCCCCAGCCTTCAAAACTCAAATCAACTGTCACCAACTCCATCTATTATTCCTCACGCTGACTATGCTTTCCCATGACATTTAATTTTCTCTCTCACATAGCATCCAATTCCACAGTGTAGTTACTGGTGTATGTATTTTATCTCCTCAAGTAGACTTTAGATTTTCCCATGCCTGGGATTCTCTTCTATACAGTCGTTTACTTCCCAGCCCCGCCCCCACCAGCACTTAATACACTTAAATATGACGGATGCTCGATCGAATGTCATACTATTTGAGCAAAACCTGACAACGATATAGTTTCTTAGCTTAGAAAGCTCATTTTGACTTTGCAATCTGCATTCATAGCTGCACTGCATCTTGGAGTTAGGAACCAAAAGCAGTATCCTTTTAGAAAACGTTTAATTAGGGTGCCTGGCTGGCTCAGTCGGTTGAAGACTTCAGCTCAGGTCTCAGTTCTGATCTCACAGTTCATGAGTTCAGGCCCCACGTTGGGCTTGCTGCTGTAAGTGCAGAGCCTGCTTCGGATCCTCTGTCTCCCTCTCTCTCTGTCCTTCCCCCTCTTGCATTCTCTCTCTCAAAAATAAACATTAAAAAAATAAAAAATAAGTAAAAATATTTTAATTACAATAAAATACACAATAAAACAAAGTAACATAAATTTGTTATCTTGACCATTTGTATGTGTAGAATTAAATATGTTTGTATTGTATGTAACCATCATCACCACCAATGTCCAGAACTCTTTTCATTTTGCAAAACTGAAACTCTACCTATTAAACAGTAACTCTTCACTCCCTCTTCCTTCAGGCCCCACCATTCCACTGCTGTCTGAATGAATTTGCCTACTCTAGGTACTTCATGTAAATGAAATTATACAATATTTGTCTTTTTGTGATTGGCTGATTTCACTTAGCATCACATTCTCAAGTTTCATTCATCTTGTAGCATGTGTCAGAATTCCTTCCTCTTTAAGGCTGAGTAATATTGTTATTTAATTTTTTACTTTCATATTTTTAAGTAGGCTCCATGCCCAGTGTGGAGCCCAATGTAGGGCTTGAACTCACGACCGTGAGGGGCAAGACCTGAGCTGAGACCAAGAGTTGGACGCTTAACCAGCTGAGCCACCCAGGTTCCCCGAGGCTGAATAAAATTCTATTGTGAGTTTATGCCACATATTATTTATCCATGGACACTTGAATTGCTTCCATCTTTTGGCCATTATAAATAGTGCTGCTATGAACATAGGTTTTCAAATATCTCTTTATGACCCTGCCTGCAATTCTTTTGAATGTATACCTAGAAGGGGAATTTCTGGGTCATATGCTCTTTTTAATTCTATTTTTAATTTTTTGAGTGACTGCCATACTATTTTCCACAGCACTTGCACCATTTTACATTTGAAAATAAGATTCCTTTTTAAAAAATTCTTCCAAAAGTCTAAGATGTAATAAAATACCTGAAGTAAAAAAATAAGAGAAACTGCAGCCCCAATCCAAGCTGCTCCAGTCAGATGAATCACAGCTGGTGTTCAGAAGCCAATTCGATGTGAAGAATATAACATGTAGCCCTGGAGTTCCTGAGCCTGACCGCGCATCAGTATCCTCCCACCAAATAGCCTGAGCTAGAACCTCTGGGAACCTGCAACTACATAGAGCCCCTCCAGTGGTCATGTGGCCTGGGTGTATGTGGAC